AGTGTCTTTCCAAACTAGACAAAATAGGAGTGATTGGTGTATAAAGAGATAGAATTCAAATATAGGTTTTGTTAAGAAAAGTATAAGAGAATTTATACTGAAGTGAGAGCTCAGCCATAAAAATACAAGAATTTATTACTCTAAAGTACTATTCCTCCAACACTTATTTCATTTTTTCATCTTTCCTGTTTAATGTAAAAAATGATTTTATAGGCTTTGTCAAGGAAAGTAGAAGAGAATTTGATTCAAAAAGTGAGTGCTCAGCCATAAAAATAGAAGAATTTATTCTTCTAAAGTCATATTCCTCCAAGCCTTTTTTTTTTTCATTCCTTGTCAAAGTAAAAAAAATGATTTTTTTGCTATTTTCTTTTCTTTTATGATATTTTAGGTTTCCTCAAAAATTTTGATTTTTCATATTAAAAATGAGATTTCAAGATTTTACTCATCGGTAAATAACTAGTTTTAACTTTTTTTTTATTTTATAATAATAAGATGACTTCCTAAATAATAACAAATGCAAATCGCAATAATCCTTTTAAGATTTTCTCAAAAAAAAAAAAAAGGATGTTGAATTTTAATATTAATAATGATATTTCAGAATTTTAATCATTGACAAACTAATATTTTTTAACTGCTTTTTATTATACAATAGAAGTATGCTACCAAACAAGACAAAATAGGAGTCTTGGAGTATGAAGAAATATAGAACTCAAATATAGGTTGTTTCATGGAAAGAATAAGAGAATTCATTCTGGAGTGAGAGCTCATCCATAAAAATAGAATAATTTATTCTTCAAAATAATTGTCAAAGTAAAAAAAAATTTATGTTTTTAATCATTAAAATTTTATAATGAAATTTAAGTTTTTCTCAAAAAAAAAGTTAATTTTAAATACAAAGTGAGATTTCAATATTTTACTCATTGGTTAATTACCAGTTTTAACTTCTTTTTATTATATAATAATAAGATGACTTCCTAAATAATCACCAATTCAAATGACAATAATCATGTGTGTTACCAATTAGACAAAATAAAAGCATCTAATGCATGATAAATATAGAATTCAAATGCAAGTTTTGTCAAGAAAAAAAGGTTTAAGAGTAAACTAATTAGAGTTAAAACTCTCTAGGAAATCCAAGGAAAAAGCATCCGATTATGCCCAAGCTAGAAGTATTTAAAAAAAAAAAAAAAAGATATAGGCTTAGCAAAGGAAAAGAGAATGCCTCATTAAGGAAGGTTTGCCTCCTAGAAAAAACAGATCCTATGAAGTCAATTTCACAACCAAGTGAGAATTTATCTAATAGGAAAATTTAGGGTTCAGTGGCAGACTAGATTATAGACAGTCGTCAATGGTTCAGTCACATTAAAAATCGACCATCTGATGATTCAATTAGGAGAGTAGATGTTTTAGATTCGACTTATGTTAAGAAAGAAAGAGGTAGACCTAAAGAGAATTGGGCATATTGTATGAAAAATAGTGTTAACGTACTAGAATTGACTGAAAATAGGACACTCAATAGGACAATGGAGAAAAGGATGCATGTAGCCGACCCCACTTAGTGGCATAAATGCTTATTGTTGTTGTCATTGTTGTGGAAAATTATGGTCCCAAAATAAGGAAGATATTTAGACGAAAAGAATCTGGCGCATATGATTAAATTTGTAGAGATCAATTGTATGAATAATTATCTCACATGTTTTATTCAACATTCCTTTTATTTCACTTAGCAAGAAATCAAGATTATTTTAGCGATTTTTCTCATATAGCCAATAGCACTCTCATAAGATATCTCCCAAGTTACAATCTTATAGGACTACACTCGAAGGAAAAGGTTGAAGTTCAAAAAGTGCCTAGTTCAATCAAAGAAAATTGGAATGAAAAGAGAGCTACAATTATTATGATAGTTGTCCTGTGACACCAAGAAAATTGTCATCAACTTTATGGGACTTACGGAATATGGATTTATGTTCACAAAATCAATCAATTGAGAAGAATACAAAGATAAACAATCACCAATAATACAACTATTTGCATGGCACTAAAAAAAAAAGAAAAAAAAAATTATTTGAGACTCAACATCCTTATGATAGCTTATCATTTGCTCTTAAAATCGTACAATAAATACTTTATTTGCACCGGAGAATGCATAGGGTAATGAGAACACAAAAAAATAACAATTATATCAAACATCATAAATAATTTCAGCATGAATCACTAGATGAGATTTTAAATTTTCAAGAAATTTGGGAAGTTAAAAGTATTGGTAAACGAGATGAGCTTGAGCGAGCTCAAGCTGAGCTCGTGTTTGGCTCATTCAAAATTGCTCGTGTTTGAAATCAGCTCGTGTTCGTAATTGGCTCGTGAACAGTGTGTTTGTGTTCCGCTCGATATAAATATTCTTGTTTGTGTTCGGCTCAAAATTTGCTTGTTAAAATTAATTAGAAAAAATAGATATGGAGTGTTGGATTCTAATTTAGACCAAATCTATGCAAAAGAAGGCGCAAAATCACACGAGTCGTTATGATTTAAACTTGGTTATAAATATGTAAAATATATTAATATATGAATAATATATATAATATATTATTATATAAATAATTATATGATTTTTTTTTTATTTCGAGCTAAAATGAGTCAAAGACGAGCGAACAAAGAGCTATTTGTATCAGCTTGTTTATAATTTGAGCACAAAAAATTTTATCGTGTTCGAATCATTTACTTAACGAACGAGCAGAACATGAGCTACTTAACAAGTTGAACACAGGTTGTTCGCGAACAACGAGGTTTTTGACAGCCCTAATAGTAGAGACTCAGTTTGCAAAAAAAAGTTCATTAAGCTTAGGCAACTCCTCACCACAAAACAAAAATGACAAATTATGGTCATTATTAAAAGTAGATAATCAAGAAAATAAAGTGTATAACACCAATAATGCACCTAACTGCATGGCGGAAAGAACACTATTTGAGATTCAACATCCATGACAAATTATCGTTTGCTCTTAAAATCTTACATTAAATGCTTTATTTGCACCAGAGAATGCATAGGGTAATGAGAACACAAAAAATAACAATTATATCAATCATTATAAATGATTTCAGCATGAATCATCAGATGAGATTTTAAATTTTCAAGAAATTTGGGCAGATAAAAGTATTGGTTATAGTAGATAGCGTTGTAAACGATCCAAGCTTGAGCGAGCTCAGACTTGGCTTGTGTTCGGCCCGTTCGAAATTGCTTTCGTTTGAAATTGGCTTACGAACAGTGTGTTTGTGTTTTGCTCGATTTAAATATTTGTGTTTTTGCCCAGCTCGTGTTCGGCTCAAAAATGACTTGTTAAAATAAATTAGAAAAAAAATAGATGAAAGTGTTGGATTCGAACCTAAATCAAATCTATGCAAAAGAAGATGAAAATCACACGAGTTGTTATGATTTAAACTTAGATATAAATATGTATAATATATTATTATATAAATAATATATATAATATATTATTATATAAAAAGTTATATAATTTTTTTTTCGAGTCAACGAGTCGAACACGAGCGAACAAAGAGCTATTCATATTCAGCTTGTTTATGATTAGAGCTTAAAAAAATTATTCTTGTTCGACTCGTTTACTTAACGAACATGCCGAACATGAGCTGCTTAACAAGTCGAGCACGACTTGTTTGCGAACAAAAAAATTTTTGACAACCCTAATGGTAGAGGCTCATTTGCAAAAAAAAAAAAAAAAAAAAAAAAAAAAGAGTCATTAAGCTCAGGCAACACCTCACTACAAAATAAGAATGACAAACTATGGTCATAATTGACAAGTGGATGATCAAGAAAACAAAGTGCATAACTCCAAGTTTATGGAGTAGATGATATTGGAAGATTTGTGGTTGAACAAAATACAATACATTATTCATTTTAGAGGGCCCATATATTAGATGTTAAAGGTACTAATACAAGCAAGTCATGTCTCTAACTTACGTACGAGATGTGGGATTAAATGACTGATTAAGTGAAAGGAATGGCATATTGAAGTGAAGGAAAGCAAGATAACGAGGAGTCTACCTTTTTTAACTTTTCATCCTCCTAGTTAGTAATCTTATGAGGTAATAGGAATGAAAATATTTGATGGATGTGGATGTTTTGTTGAATTTGTGTAGCGCCAAATTTGTGATGGGTTACATCACCTTTTCCAGCATATCTGCAGTTCTAAAGACGGCCATAAAAACAATATTGTATGTAGATCTTACATATGAGTTTTGCATTAAGCCCGATTACCTGTACCTCCATTTAATTCATGAACAAAATCATTTTTAACCTAAACTGAGAGCCGTAGACTATATACCGTGGGGGATATTCGGTTGGAGAGTAGAGAACAGTCATCTGTTACACTGCATTTTGTTCTCTCCCAATTAAATAAATTTCATTATTTCACATGCAAACTGAAGCATAAAGAATGTCTGAATTTCTAGTCAAAAGTACAAAACATGGACGAGAAAAATATAATTATAACGTTGACATGCTAACATGGAGCAGGGGCTAAGCGATCAACACTTAAAGTCTGGAACCAACTGGACTGGAAGCATCTACAGGCTAAATTATAATTACCAAACCCCGCATTAGTATTGACTGCTTGGCCAAAACCAACCTTTCTAAGCAAATTTGTTCCAAGGACGCAGAAATTAAAAAAGAAAGTGTTACGACAAACATGCATGCACATTAGTAGAGAACGATTCTGAAATAATTATCTCTAATATCACTTTATAAGATTTTTCACAATATAGTTGCGTTACTACAGCATTTCAAGGATTAGTTTAGGGTCACCTAAACCATGATGTGCGGGTGAGCACCATTCTCACTTGCCCGCATGCATAAAAAGTTATGGCACAGGCTGCATCAATTATGCAACCAATGCCTCACTAAACTCACCATACGTAAGCCATAGTATGTGAAATAACTTGATGAAGAAGTGCATATACAGCTATAAGCAAAAAGAACAGAAGCTCACCGCAAGCTGAGACTTATGATCTTCAAGCTTTTCAATATCAGACTTTGCTTGCCTCAACTGCGGAAAGTAATAATGGCATAAGTTGTAAATAAAACTGCACAAGAGCGCATTATAAAATCATTTTAAGTGTAAATATAAGGTTTCAATTTTTTATCTTTAAATTCCTTTTAAAATCATTATTCAGACCTGCTCTTCATATTTAACTTTTCCATCAAATGATGAAACATTGTTTTCTTTTCTTGTATCTTCGAAACCGTCAGATAATTTATGGCTTTCAGAAATATCACTTTCTCCATCCATGGATCGCTTCTTTTTTGGCCTTCTTTCACTGTCAGACAAGGAGGAAAAATTTCAGAGGTAAAACAATAGAAACATTAATAAAGCAGAAAGAAGACAACATTCATGTTAGCTAAGGAATTGACAAAATATCTACAAGTGCCAATTTCAATTGGTATGATACAAGTTCCTAAGGCCTTTAAACCTCTATTAAAGGCATGGGCCAAAAACATCAAACTAACAAAGTCAAACACGTGGCAAAGTGGAAATTCAGCTCTTCAAAAAAGACAAAAAAAAGGTTAAAATTATCCCTGGATGAATTATATTAGGAAATTTTAGTGCCAGCTATCTAATAAGTTCAATTTAATCTCGAGTACTCAAGTATGATTATAAATAATCCCTTCGTTGGATTAAATTTGAATCTAACATGAGAAGGGATAATTTTGAATCACATTTGAAGACTCAAGTTACTAAATTGAATGCATTAGATAGTCTCTGAGTATAACAACCGACTCTAGAAACCCATTTCTCGCAAGCATATAAAAGTAGAAAATTAAAGCATAGAGAAAATCATTCAGAAAAAAAAATCATGACAGAAAGGATCTCATGGAAGATAAGATTAAAATGGGAAAATTAAAAAGACGCAACATTCTGTAGAGCTTTGAACCTTCTTCTGATAGGAGACCTTGAAAGGCTACTGGCTGCAAATGGAAAACAAGTAAATTCTCATTAGGTTATACTTATACACGATCAAAATTAAAAAATAAAAATAAAGGGACTTCAAGTACAAGATTTCAATCCAACTAAAATAAAAAATTAGAAGCCAGTAAAGCAATAGGTTTATCCAAGCAGGGATGGGAGAAAAAGGAGAAGAAAAGAATCAAAGACAAAGAATGCTCACCCCTATCATGAGAAACAGCCTTGTGGCTCCGAAAATTATGATGAGCTCTTCCATCTCGCCCTGGAGAATATCTTCGGATTGGAGACTGCCTTCTATCAAGCCTATCCCTTAAATCACTACTTCTATAATCTCGTCTGCCTGTTGGTGGAGAAAGGATTAACTACGGTGAAGAGTACCCTCATTATCAAGGTAGGAAACAAACAAGGACCCAAAGAAAACATAAATTTTCATGTCTTACCATCTCAGAATTATGAGAAATTCATAAATAAAAAGAAGTTGTGCCTCCATGAAAATTCCAGATGGTCACATATGGTAGCCCATATAATAAAAACATATTGAAATAGTCACTTATGATCTTAGATCTCTGAGAGTCCTTTATCAGGCATAAAAGTGATTACGGTGAATAGCAGTCATTGGGAGCCATGCAAAGAGAATTTTCCCTCAATAGATAGTTTTTATTTTGATGATAAGAAAACCGCATCTGTTGGGTAAGTTCAGACCAGAAAAAATAGTACAATCCAATCATAAGCTTCTTTCCTCTTCAGTCACAGCTTTTGAACCTTTGGATAATGCTTTCCCAAACTGATAACAGTTATGAAAAGATAAACCAACAGCATAACTTTCTAAAGATAACTCCAAATATTGCTGAAGATGCTAGGAGTTTATAGAGCACAACCTATCACATTTTCCATATCACTCAATTGATAAACCTAATTCTATAAGGTTAGATAAGCTTTTGGCAAAATGAACCAATAATGAATCATATATAAGTATACCAAAAATTGATTATGATAGAAAAGTGGCACCAGGACAAATAATCCTTCTAGTAGAAGACAATAAATTAGATCTTTTATGCCACATTAAATCACTTGCATAAAGATGTCACCAATAATAATAGTGAGTTCTGTTAGGGAGGCACTTGGATAGCTTGATGACTAACAAAACCCAAAAACAATGAAATATGCCTCAGCCATTCTGCAATAAGCTTTCATGAAATCAAATCTTCAAATAGAAAGAAATAAAGATATGCTTTTGATCTCCAAAGCTGTTTAGTCCCATAACAGGAAAAAAAACAAATGTCAACAAAATAATAATAAATCGCCATTTAAAGATAAACATGGCATGGTAAAAAGATAATGACGGGTCATGAACACCTAATATCATTCCTGATCCTCATGAAGTACTTAAATGTTCTTTAATATCCCAAACTCATCAGAGAGCTATAAATTTTCACATCCATAAAAAAGCAAATAAGCAGTTGATCTTCTTTTCGTTCCATTAAAACCGAGAAAATGCAGTCAATAAATTTTCACAAGCTATACACATGATTAGAAAAATATTCAACATTAATTGAGAAGCAGAAACCTATGACAAGTTGTTGAAAATAGGAAGTTCCTTAACTTAGTTGTAAGTAAACAAAGAAATATACAATATTTATCAGCTTTCAGCTGACACCAAAAATACAAAAAAACTGAGAAATTTTCAATTTTTCTACAAGGCTTAAGCAACAATTTTTAGGATTTTTCTACTAATTCATTTTCAAAATTCAATCACCATTCTTTTGTTGTTACTAAACATACAAATGAACTAGCCCTCATACAAATTACATTAAAATCCTTTACAAGGACAAACAAACTTACTGTGGACATAAAATAAGGAAAAGGAACTACAAACAAAATTGCCTCATTCCATAATTCACCACCTCTGACCATGATTCACATTTTTCATTCAGACAAGCTTAAAAAACTTAAAAGTTAAGAGGCATGTTGCATACCCCCATAATATAAAATGTTCTAGATAAAATGCCATTAACAGTAAAACAAAATGCACAACTAAACTATGTCAGGTTAATTAGAAATTGTCTAGCCGTGAGGGCTACAAAGAAAAAAATTCTAACAATGAAAACAACAAGGAAAGTCCGACATATGAAAGAAGGGCCATATCACTACTTAACTTCACCATCTTGTTCAGCTAACAGTGTCGACCAACTTAAGATATCATTTGGGATAGCATTTGTGCTATCTCGCAAGGTTTAAAATTGTGCAATTGGGTATTGAAGTTTTATTTGTCTGAAGTGTTGTGTGGAATAAGAACCATAGTATGCATATAAAAGTATGAAGTAAAAAAAACATATTATCATTTTAACTTAAAATCTTAGTATAGTAAAAAATAACAAATTACATAAAGTATCAAGTAAAATATTAACATCCTAATATCAAATCATCAAATAATAAGTGCTTTACAAATAACAAAGTAATAAAGATATCAAACTAAAAATTAATAGCTTTACAATTCAAAAGCATAATCACACTTTATGTTCCACTCACATTGTTTGCATCATAATAAAAACATAACAAATTACCAGCCACCAAGATTAAATATTTAGAATCAAAAGCCCTCAGCACTCACCACTTAGTAGATCTTCATTGGAATTATCATCATAATGAATCATTTTCTGCCCTATCTCATCCTTAGTTGTATCAATTATCTTTTAATCTTCCTCCTCATCTTTGATTTCAATAATCTTTCTCTTCCCTAATCGATAATAATCAATAAGTGTACTAATTTAAATTTAATATAATGATGATCACAACTTTAAGCATAATATTTTATAGATAGTTCTTTAATTTCTTGCCGGCTTGTGCTACACCTACCTATCTTCTCTCTACCCTCTTTGAAAAATCAACATTCAAACTTTTTGTTGCAAATTCATAATTGCAAACTAGGATATCTTCATCATCATTTGAAGACCTTTTTTTTTCAAAATCTGTCATTTAATCTCTTGATGTACATGATATAAACCGAATAACTTCCTGTCAAGCGCTTTCTCATTTTAATATCAATTTGGTTGCTTTTACTCTAATTTCTCTCACCAATCAAATGACAAGCGTGTAAGGCCCAAAACTTTTAACAATAAAACGCTATAATTCTATAGTGTTACTACCAAATTGAAACTATTGATCAGCTAAATCTGAAGATAGAATACAATTAAAATAGGGAGAATCATTCCTTATTTCAACCAAGAGATATTAAAATTTACCTACAGAATGTTTTGTAATTGTATCTTCAGCTTGTTGCAGTCTAGAAAACCTTTCATTATTGCCAAATGCTACAATTTATAGATCAACTTTCACCCTTGCAATTGAGTCGGCAATTAAACTATTCATGCAATGGTGCAAGTCTAATTTGATCTCATGATTAGTTGATTTGTTTTCAGCATTTTGTAATGGAGAATTAACATAATATTTGGTGGCATACTAGCTAAAGCTCCGATTATCTCTTCCTAAGTTATGCATCATCAACCCTACAGACTCATCCATCTCATTGTAAATGAGGCCAATAGGTAGCCTTTTCTCTGCATTAACCTAAAAACTTGAACTAAAAACTTTATTATTATTATTACATATCACTTAACTAAAAATTTCATTTTAAACAAGCTTTCAACATCTTTTGCTCCATATTGCTTTGTTTGGGCACAATTAAACAAGCTTTCAACTTCTTTTGCTCCATATTGCCTTGTTTGAGCACAATTAAACCATTGCATTGAAGTGGACATAGCCTTTAGAGGTTGCTTCTTTTGTAGGTCGTAGCAAATCTAGTTGCATCTAGCCAAAAAAGTTATTGTTTAAATTTTGTTTTCCATCAAAACCAAAAAACTCATGAATGAAAAAATCAAATCTACTCATGATGCATATGATCTTCAATAAATATTTTTTCTCATCTCTATCAACCTATTTATAACTTCCCTATAAACACTAGAATTGTGTATCACTAAATGCTCTCCAAAGTCCTCTATGCTCCATCAAAAACTAATTCTCTGCATCCTTTATCTAATTTGATGCTTCAACACACTTCACAAAAATATTATCACAGGAATCATTATTCAAAATGTCTATCAAGCTTCTAATCTTGATATCAGATCAAACCTGAAACATAACCTTCACTCTAGTTTGACTCCAAGTTCTTGTAATGTCCTCAATGCTCATTTCAATGCCAGATAGTTCCTATTTTAATACAAAATTTCCTATATCAAGTATAAATGGTTGTGGCTTCAAGCCTCAATAAAATAAAAACATGAAACATATTATGTTGAAATAAGAATGGGAGGTTCACGTAAAAAAAAAATGTCATTTCATGAGCTTCTCTAACGTTTTCATGAGCTTCTCAAGCAATTAGAAGTGTAAACGAGCCGAGCATGACTGAGCTAAGGCTCTGATCGTATTCAGCTTGTTTGTATTAGCTCGTGTTCAAAATTGACTATTGTTTGAACAAGACTCATAAGAAATTTATTTATGTTCGTCTCGATATTGATTGCATTATTTGAATTGACTCGTGTTTGGCTTGATTTGTCATCCATTAACAAAATTAATTAGATTGTGTAAGGTGCAGGTTTCAACCCCACATTCTTCTTTTACAATAGAAGATACCTCGCCACTCAAACATATAAGTTATGGAGAATTAATCTTATATAAAAATATATATATAATATAATATTATATTAATAATATATATAATTTATTTATTCGAGTTAAAACACGCCGAACACGATCGAACAACTAGCTGTCCGGGTTGTGTTCAACTAGCTTACTTAATGAATGATTCGAGCACGGGCTACTTAACGAGCCGAACACGAGTTGTTCATAAACAATTTTTTTTATACCCCTATTAGCAATTTCAAACTCTACACTTATCATGTAATGACCCACAGATCCTCTTGCATCTTTACTTGACATCTCCTGCAAAAAAAAAAAAAAGAAAGAAATCTTTGCTCTATCAAGAAAGAAATCTTTGCTCTATCTTCGCCATTAATGTCATTACTAAAATAAGATCCACAATTTACACTATCAATGAATTGTTGCTATGCTAAATACATTGAAATTGTGTCACTGTTCATATATCCACTCTTTCATCTCGTAAGGAAACCTTGAACAAGTGCAAAATGTTGGTGAGAGACAAAAAGGTGTTCTCTAGTTCTTGTAGCACCCCTTTTAATAACCTGTCTTATCATTCATTCCAACTCAACCTACACAACAAGCCTTCGTGCCATACCATTTTATGTCCCATTGTGATTTATCCTTACCGCATATTATTTTAGAGAACTCAAAAAAATAATTTAAACACAAGTTGGAACAACAAATAACAAAACCCTTAAAGAAACCCTAAAATAAACAAAACAAAATTCCTCTTTTAAAGAAAAAAAATCTACCGTTAAGGAAAGGAGCAATGTGGTGGAGGAAGAGTAGAAGGAGATGCGTCCCTAATTGAGGAAGAAGGTTCGGCAAATAGGACCCAATAGCGGCACAGATAGCTAGGAGAGCAAAGAAGCCAATGACAAGGTTAAGGTGGTGGGAGAAGTAAGTTGTGGAGAAGTAGAACTGAGAGGAGAGAGGGAATGATGTGAGAACGAAAGCAAGCAGGGTTGCATGAGGGAGAAAAAACAAATGGGGTTATAACTTTGAATATTCTTTTAATATTTAAAAAATCTAATGGTAAATAATATGAGATGTATGCCTCATATTTGAAATTATGCGTGCCTCACCGTATGTGAATTTTGACGTGCACCCCTCACATTAGTCCATAAGGCACAAACCTCATGGTAAAATTGCTTAAAAAGTTCTTAGATGATTGGATACATCCCACTTGATCAAGTTTTGCTACATCCCACGGTTTGTAATTTTGAGATCACTAAAAATACCCTTCTCTTTTGCAATTATTTAAGCTATATTTTAACATTATTATATCCTTCATCACACCCTAGTTCATATTCAACAACTGGTTGGTGGCATATGTCTTGCTGATTCATCTATTGTGAGAAGCATCACGCAATGTCAATTGCAACATAGAAGTCCTCTCCAACAAGAGCTCGAGTTAGACGAGTAAAATAGTTTCCTATTTTTTTTAAAATAAAAATGTGCAATAGAAGAGATATCCGATGATAGTTTTTGTTGTTTCCTTATTTTCACAGTGTTTTATGAACGATTTCTTTGTTAGTGTAATTTTTATCTTATATCCCTTGCTTAAACACTATCATATGATAGTTTTACAAACTAATGTTGTATTTAAAAAGTAATAATTAATATAAATATGATTTAGAAATAAATAAGCTAGCTCATTTGATTACATAGAGCATCCACACAAACCTGTCAAATGGATTTTGAAAACAAGATTAACCATTAAGCTATAATTTTTTTTTATAATGGTTTTGAAACTGACTTTTCCGATATATCGATAGCCCCAAACACACCATTGGTAAAAGATTTATATATAAAAAATGTTTACGCTTCTATCATTCCTTGAGATACATTTCTACCTAAAACAAGGCATTATTACCAGCAATCACTCGGAGACTTAAACAAATCAATAATTACATGTTGTACATGAGCAATCATTTCCAGTGATGAACATTTTATTTGGATGTCATTAATAATTGCATCAACAGCTAAGCTAGGATTAAATAAACCATTATATCAGTAAGCTCACATGCTAACACATATACTTTTAGTCTAAATTTAAACATATGTAGCACTCCATCTTAGTTCCATGTGAATATTGAAATTAGCCAATCAACTTGGGGATATCTGAGATGTGGAATGAGTAATTGACTACAATTGATTTTAAAACCACTTGTATTTCAGGTCAAAAGAACTTCCCAATCACATTAACAACATGTGGCATACATCAAGAGAAAATAAAAATTCCCTCCTATAAAATAGCAAAGTTTTCTTGATTGAAAATTCAATATATCCTAAGCCTTTAGGTAATACAGGGAAAATCAAATTTGGCAACAAATAATTACAAGTTCGATAAGACAAAAAGCTTCCAAAAAATAAATTTTGCACATTGGTGTATTTCCTTCATCACCAAAAAGGAAAAAATTAAAAAAGGAACAGTAAATTACATTCCACTAATAAAATTTCAAGTAAACCAGCATCCCATTCACAATACAGTGTCGATAATGATGTGCAAAACAAATAGAGGTATTTGTCTAATAGTACGATTTAATTAAAATATAATTAGGTAAATTATGTAAATACAGATTTTTCAAATCATGGAAGCATGAAATACTGAAAATTGTTTGGTAAGATGGATGTTAAATCTGGTTAAATTGCTAAAAACTATCTTTTCGCAGATATTATTTACAGTAGAAGAGGCACAGTAAAGAAAACTGCATTGAATCTCTTAAATCATACATGCTCCATGAGCACTAAATCCGGGCTTTGGCCTAAAGGTAGCAGGATTTATAGGGCTCAATAAACTGTTTGTCAAGATTTAGAATAAATCCTCAATTTTGAAACTAAACATCCCCTGAGGGCTAAGAAACCTGTTTGATACAACTGCCTCATAAATCAAGCGTACTATATTATTATGCAGGGTATGCCAAAAAAAAAAAAAACCTCTGAAAGGAACCTCTGAAAGGAATTAATCGTGTAATCGTGGTAAAATTTGGTAAAAGGGAACGTTCATGTGCAGTATCAGGCCCCTACCATTGAGAGATCCGCCGAAACGCCGGAGCTCGACTTCTCCATGTGCAAAGGAGCAATTCTGACGAGGACAGCGGCCTCTCTGGTACAGCAAGCATAGCTTCGTCTTGTACATCTTCCTTCCTAGCATCGCTAACGGTAATAGCAGTTGATAGATCGAAACGTAAGAGATCGAGAGATTCCAAGAAGGAAACCAAGGTCGTAGAAAAAGAATCTACGGATTTCAGAAACCCTGCAAACTACAGCGCAGATATGAACCACGAAGCGCTTAGTTCAGCCTCTGGGGAGCGCCGATAGAGTGAGATGGCTACGACTCAGGCCGGAAACCCTAGAACTGTAGGCGGAGAGAAGCGAAGCTAAGCTTCATTAGGTTTGCGTGCGGGGAGTAAATTTATAATTAAAATTTTATATTTATTAATATAAATTCTTAATATTTATTATAACAAGATAAATATCCGCATCATTGTGATTGAAGTTGTTATTCTCAGTGTGGGGCAATTCGAATCTTTAACATATTTCCTATTTGACTCAATTTAACATAAAAAATAAATACATAAAATTATATTTTATTTTAGATAGATAAAATTGGTGTAATATTATTCTAAATATAGGTGTTTTGAAATTGTAGATATTTAGTTAAAAAATAGCAATAAATGTAAAGTAACATTTTCAAGGTATTTGAAATTTTTTATTTAGATCATTTTCAAATCTTCAAGGACCATTTGAAAATATCTAGAAAATTTAAATGTTATAATGTAAAATAAAATCATTGTACACATAAAATATGTCAGGATAAATCTTAAGACAGATGAACGGTTCTGGAGGAAGAAACGGTCGATGAAACGTAACTGTTGACGATTGTTTCGGGTTGAACGACAGCTAGAGAGACGTCTTGTTTTGGCAAGAAAGCAACGGAGAGTTCTAAGAATCCAAGGCTTAGGCTCAAGCATCGCTCCTAATCGTATGTGCTCTCTTTTTAACTTGAATTGAAGAAATATAGCCTGGAAACAAAATCGAGAGGGGGGATATGAAGTTGTTACTAAGACTTACAATATTGTGATAATAGCTGAGGCAGACCAAGATGCGAGTTACGTAGGCCATAGGTAGTCACAGAGGTCGTAGTGGTGAACCACAAAAACGTTAGTAGATTGCAAAAGCCAGAGTTGAGAGTTGCATAAGTTGTGAGTCACATATGTCTTAGTTTATCACATAGGTTGTTGTAGGGAGTTGCAATAACGTATGTAGGTTGTATAGACTGAAGTTAATAGCTTCGCAAGTTATTAACCATTTAGGTCATAGTTGGTCATGCAGGCATAGTGATGAGTCGCAATAATATTTGTCGGCCACAGAGATCGAAGTAAAGAGTTGCATGAGTTGTGAGTCATGTAAATCATAGTTGGTCACATAAGTCACTGTGGTATGCTGCAATAATATATATAGGCTGCAGAGGAGAGTTAGAGCTACATGAGTTGTGAGTCACGTAGGTCATAGTTTGTCATGTAGCCAGCAGTAGATAGCCTTGAGGAGAGAACTTCATGAGTAGAGAAAGCCGTCGTATTCTGAGTATGGTGTCTGTAAGAAGCTTTTTCAGGGAGTTACCAAATCATTTATGCATCATTATTCATGATCTCATGTTGGAAGCATGTTGTTACACTGTATGCGACCCACATTGTTGCACAATAATCAAGATAATGTGCTGCTCCATCAGACGTTTCGTTACTCTGCAACATACACTAAGATTTTGTAGTGTATGTTGTGATTTCACAAAAGCTTTCATTACAAAGAGCAGAGGGAGCCCTACAATGGTCAATGACGACCGACGATCAACGACTGATGAGCAGTGGTCGGTTTCATTGCAGGTGCTGTGAGCCACATACGCCATAAGTGATCACATAATTCATAATAGTGAGCCGCAATAATGTCTGTAGGTCAAAGATGTCGAAGTTGGGAGCTATATGAGCTGTGAGCCACATTGGCGTAATTAGATGTGTAGCCCCTAGTAGAGAGCTTCAAAGAAAGGACTTCAAGAGTTCGAAGAAAATCACAGTATTCTATGTATGTCAGTTCTAAATAATTATTATAAGGACTTAATACCAGATCTTTGATAAGAAGTATTTTATGATATTGTATTAGAAGTATATTGTTACAATATATGCGGAGTACGTCTTAGTTCAAAATTCAGGATGATGCACCGCTTCGTCGAGTGTTTAGTTGCTCTGCAATGTATGCCGAAATTTCGTAATGTACATCATGATTTCGCAAGGGGATTTGTTGGAAAGAGTATAGGCGGTCAACAATGGTCGATAACTACTAGTGAGCGATAGTCGATGGTAATCAGAAACGTCAAGAAGCTGGTGAGTTTTGTTGGACCCTCAGTGTAAAACATCGGACTTTAGCTAATTCTCCTCACGACCCAGTTCCGATCTTAGTCCTCTCGTTATTAAGGGAGTAAGGCTCTATTTATAGGATACATGAGAGACCTCACTGCAAATAAATAAGGAATTTAGACCACTTTATCAGACAATCCGAAGATATTTCTTTGATGGGCGACATTTGGTGGGCATTTAAGGACCTTAACGATGTCAAAATTGAGTGATATAAGCGCTCGTTGGATTTGTCTCATTGATACGTTTGATTCGACTATAAGCTTGTCAGATTTGGAATCCACACGACATTTCAATTAGCCACTCAAAGCTTATAAAATTGGTTTAATGGCTTAATTTAAGCTTGATTTGACTTGAATTGGAACAATTTTTCATCATTTTGTTTGTCCCGTTGAGCTAGTCAGTTTGACTGTAAGTTCGTTGAAATCGAAGTTGTGGATAATTTGTAATTGGAGTTTGATAATTTCTTGCTTAAAAGATGCTTCGAGATTCATGTTAATCGTCTCGAGATTCATGTCAAATGATAAATTTTGTTGATGACATATCACTATGCATTTTGCTTCAGTTGTGATAAAAAATTAGAAAAATGCACATATGTACCAGACAATTTTTATTTATTACAATATCTCCATAATTTAATATTTACACTTATAAAACTTTGGTGTCATAAACCTATGCATGAACATGTATATTTCACTTTTAAAAGATAATGATTGTAGTATTTTCTTATGTGGTATTAAAGATTTGAGTGATATACATGTAAATATAAATGTTTAGGTATTAAATATGTAACACATAAGACTTGTGTGGTATGTATGTAAATGCCCCAAATTTTTTTAATTTTTCTTTATTTGGTTTACTCCATACCACTAATACTCTTAACTAAACATCCTCTCAATGTATTTAGAATTCGCTCAATCCAAGCAAATTTTAATAAGCCATGCACGCTAAGCTTTATCTGCTGCCATCGATCATTGTTGTATGTTGTTGCTTGTCATTGTCCACTATTGCCCGACATTGCTTGCCACAATTGACCAATGCCCACTGCCAGACAAAGTTAATTAGTGTTACTGGTTGCATGTCGTCATCATTTACAGACAGGGTTGTAAGTGAACCAATGCACTAGATGAAAGACTCGAACTTGACTCAATTAAGACTCTACCATGATCGGTCAAATTAGTGAATAAACAAACTTGAACAATTTTTTAAAACTTGAATGTAGCATGAACAAAATAGAACTTATTCATTCATGCTTATAAACAAACTCGTTTGTTGTTTAACAAATAACTTGTTAAATATTCAATATTAAACTCGAATATAACTCGTACCATATATGATGCATTATTTATATAAAATTTAATTAGTTAGATTTTGTTTATTTATCAATTTAATAGTAATATATTACTATGTCAATAATACTTTTAGATTAATTCTTAATTATATATTTATTTTATTATTAACTATTAACTATTTGAAAATTGACTTGATGAAATTCTAAAAGTGAACGTCACTTTTTTTCATCCTTTTTTATTATGTTTGATCTTAATGTCTTTTTTTTTTCTGGATTTTTTCTACAATTGATGAATGGTTGCACATTAAAAGGTAATTTATAATACTAATTCACTTAAATTTTTTTGCTCTTGTTTCAATATTGTTTTCTCTACATTAGATGATATCATGTGGGTTAGTTCATTTGCTTATAAAACTTATTTAATTGTTTCTTATTTAGTTTTGTAAAAAATTTAATTATATTTTTTTATATAAAAATCAAGATGCTCGTTAGAATTTTTAGCTCATTTAAATACATGTTCACATGTCATAAACAAATCAAGTTTAAACATTGAAAATTTTAAACAAGTTTAACTTGAACAATATTTTAAAGCTCGACATAAGCTCAAGCTAAACATGAACAACGTATAATCGTACCAAGCCAAGAACAAATTATAATATACTTAGCTTGATTACAACCCTTGTTGTAGTCAAATTAAGTCCAACAACTATAAACAATCCTAAATATGCTTAGGATTGGCGATCAAGTACGGGATGAAGACATAAAGTCCTATTATGAAGGTTAATTTTGAATCAGTGACTAGGGATTCTCTCCAAAAGACTCCTGAACTCTATATCTCAAATCATAAACTCAATGGTCATAACTTTCTCTAATTGTCAAAATCCATATTTATGTACATTTGTTGTAAAAGGAAAGATGATCATCTCATGGGGGAGGGCATAGTTCATGAGATCACTGACTCCACCACCACACATGGAAGAATTGAGAGCATATGGCTATGTCTTGGCTATATAATGACCACTAAAGTGGGAGAGAATTTTTTACTCTACAAAAAGACCAAAGTAATATGAGATGCTACAAGAGAAACATATTCCAACACTGAGAAAATTGTAGAGTTATTTGAGATTGAAACTAAGCTTCATAACTTTTGTTAAGGAGAGCTTAAGTATCACACAATACTTCAACACCTTGATAAAGTATTGGCTACAATTGCATATGTTTGATACATGTGTATGAAATATCCACATGATGCCACATTACTTAAATCCATCATCGAGAAGAAAGGAACTACCATACTACAAGTAGGATTAACTCAGGAATTAGATTATGTGAGAGGAGGATCATGAGAATAAAGCCTCTTTCATCTACTCGAGAAGCCTTTGCTAAATATATGAGAGAAGAGAGCAAAAAGTAGCTGATGCTGACTAGAAATGGGTGTTTACCAAGTGCTAAAAACTTGGCCTTGTGCAATTATAATTATTTCCATTACTCAAACCAAAAAAAGAATTGCCCCACATGTGTATTGTAAGATGATTGTTCATTTCAAAGATGTGTTGGAAACTTCATGGAAAGCCTATAGACGGGAAACTTGGATAGGGAATGAAAGGTCAAAAGAAAAGGACTAATGCTACTACCACATGCAAGGATCTTTGAAATTCTAGTCTCTCATATATCTTCCCTTTCCACCCTTCTCATAAGTCATACCAGATTAAAAAGTGGTGTTGAGAAAGTGCAGAACAATCATTAAGTTATATATGATTAAGAAAAAGAAAGGTGCAAAACTCAATATAAAAGACATCTACAAAATTGTCCAAAAGAGCTAGAAAAAGGATCAGTGCAAATCATTATGGATAAACCAACACCTAAATTTGAATATGAGAAGTGGGTGCAAACTTGAATAATGATCATGCTAAATAAAGGAGATTACATCCTATATAATCATAATTCATGAGTTATAACTCATTTTTACAAAATTTATAATTGATATATTATTAAATGTGATCAGATTTTTAAAATTATTTATTGAATTTTTTATATGAAAATCAAGATACTTGTTTGAATTTAACTCGTTTATTAGCTTGTTTAAATGTTGTTTTACTTGTCATATACAGATCAGTTCAAACATTAAAAGTTTTAAAGAAGTCTAACTTGAACAATATATGAAAGTTCAACATAAAATCAAGCCGAACACGAACAACTTATAATTAATACCAAGCCAAGTCCGAACTATGATATACTCGACTCGACTCAACTCGATTACAACCCTATTGAGGCATAAAAGAGTCAAGCCAAGCTCGATGAAATACCAAATAAGAAATACAGGATGAAACCACACATAAAATAAAATAATCAAATGTTGCATCTCTCATTAAAAAAGATATGTAAACTCACCAAAGCTAAAATAAAAAAGTAAGCCACAAAGATTTCTCTAAGATAGAGGATCAAACTCCAAATAATTTTTATTCATTCCAGTGCTCTTTCTTTATATATATTTATAAGTAATATGGAAGTTAGGGAATGCAAATGATAATCAAACTAATACTAAATGCATCTTGGAATTTATTTTGAGCTTTATTATTCCAAACTAAAACTCAACTTTCTTTAATTCCATTAACAAAGTTGTAAGAAATTGAACAGCCCTCTAAAAAATGAATGTTCATGTTTGTTTTGACTTGCATTTTGATAACATAACAAAAATGAGTTGATAGTACAATTGTGAGACAATGGACCCAACTTAGATTAAGATCTTATCTCACATTATAGTTCTTACAATTTTATCATTCCTATATTATAAATAACATTCTTCTCGAATCCAAACGAAAAACAACAAAAAAAAAACAAATAACAAAACACAATAAAATATCATGAAATCAATATCCACCAAGAATTATGGATCTAAGTATTGGTCTGTGTCCAACCTATCTTGTGAGAGGTATAATGTCAATGTTTATCAATTCAAAGAGCTCCCAAATGATTGAGAGATTATTTATCCACATAGAATTAGATTAAATTCCACATCAAATAACTAAAAAATATATTGAAATAAAAATGATAAGTGATTAGCTCTCATCATCAACATATTAATATAACTTCAATCCCCTTTATGAGAAACATTTCTTAAAAAGAAGGGTTTTCATGTGAAAACTTAAAAAAAAAACTTTATGTTATTTATAATTATTTTCAAATAAATAAATATATATATATATATATATATATATATATATATATATATATTTGCCACATGAAAGAAATATTAGTATGTAATGGTAAGGCTATGGGTGATTTGGGATGGCCCCACACTCCCCTATCTTTGTTACATTTTATGAATATTGCCTAACAAAAGGTAAGGGTGTCAACTCATATTAACATTTCAAGTTTAAATTTAACACGAACATACTTAATATAATTATGACCCATTTATTATGGGGAAATTTGATTTTGCATAACTCATGATGGATAACATTTAACAATGTTAAATACACTAGCCTGTGTTTTAATCATCATGATAGTGATTGGTACAACTAAGTGCAATTGCAATAGCCATAACACAACATATTACAAGGAAAGTATACTAAAGTAATCTAAAAACTATGACACAATAAAGAGCCATCACAGTAACTATGAAAACATTTTATTATACAAGCATTACATTAAATCCAAAACAATAAAAAATCACAATGACAAAAATTATATCATCATATTCTTCTAGTATGAATTACATAAAAGAGAGGTAACATACAACTATAACACAGCCAAATGCAATTTAAGAGATAGTACAACATCAACAATAGAATATCATAAAATCAATGTCATTGTGATGTGTTATAGCCCCATTGAGAACACATACATAACACGACATAAACAAACTAAGAAGTTGGCAATAGTAGCAGTCCTTTAGAATTTATACGTGATCATGTGCACCTTCCAGTATATATTCTATTTGCAATCCTTTGATCAACATCTGACATTATCAATAAAATAAATAAATTTAGAATCACATTAAAACTAATAAAAAAATTATAATTATTAAGATTTAAATAGAACTTAGAAGAATGAACGGAAATACGAGATTAAATTTCCAATTATACAAATCAAAACAATAAAACCAAACAAAGACCTAAAGCCAATTTTGAGTAACTCAAACAAGACATATCTAACATATTTATTATACATAATAAAGTCAACCTGACCCGAACAACTTGATCAAAATTCTGATTTCGAGTTTGTAATTCCATAATCTCTGGTAAAGGATAAAGCCAGAATTTTGTAACATTTACCTTGTATTATAGATCGTTCTAGTTATGCAAGTCCTCATGATTTTTTACTTTCATGTATTTTTCTGAAAAAAAATAAAAAAAAAACTTGTTATGTCGCTTAGACTCTTATGAGCTTCGTTGCCATTTTTTATTTGAGGGCAGAACTTTATACAACTATAAGATAAATTTCACCCTATCATCATAATTATTGTTAGCATTCAACCATTCAATGTACTTCAAATGTTAAAAAGCAATAACATAAATAGTTGAGAAGAATTATAGTTAGAAAATCAATATTTCAACCACTAAACATCATAATGATCTATGTGTATTCTACCAATTTGCGATTCAATTTCCCTAGCCTTTTTTTATTATTTTTCAAATGTTGTTGTACTCTACTCGCCACCATGATTTTCGAATACTCATTTTTTTCTAATGAAAATTATTGAATTTTATTAAATAACCAAAAAAACAAACCCACCAAACTTTTAAAAAATCTACACTAAGAGTCTGTTTAGGGCAGGGCTATAGTAGCGGTGTAGTGTCACGCCATATTTTCAGGTATTTGGCAACTGCCTTTTTTGTTTTGTTTTTCAAAAACTATGCCAATAAGCTGAGTTTTGAATCCTGGCCTTGCTAATTACGTTGGGCGCCATAAAATTACGGTTTGACATTTTAAAAATAAAATAAATCTGTAATAACGATCACAACTTTTTAAATAACAGTTTCTTCTGCAACAGCTTCACAATATTTGAGGCAGGGCTATAGTAGCGGTGTGGTGTCGTGCCATATTTTCAGACATTTGGCAAATGTGTTTTCTGTTTTTTTTTTCAAAAGCTGAGTTTTGAATCCTGACCTTGCTAATTACGGTGGGAGCCGGAAAATTACGGTCTGATATTTTAAAAATAAAATAAACCTGTAATAATGATCACAACTTTTTAAATAACAGTTTCTTCTGCAACAGCTTCACAATATTTGGGGCAGGGCTATAGTAGCGGTGTGGTGTCCCGCCATTTTTTCAGGCATTTGGCAACTGTGTTTTTTGTTTTTTGTTTTAAAAAACTATGATAAGAAGCTGAGTTTAGAATCCTGACCTAGCTCATTACGATGGGAGTCAGAAAATTATGGTCTGACATTTTAAAAATAAAATAAATATGTAATAACGATCACAACTTTTTAAATAACAGTTTCTTCTGCAACAGCTTCACAATTATTTCTTCTGGAGCTCCTCCAAACAAACCCTTAAAAAAATATGTAGGTTCTACTTTATAATTGATTTAATGGTACTTATTATAAAGCTTTAATATCATTAGCACCTAATTTTGACATAAAATAACTTATCTTTTTTTTAAAAGAAATTAAAGGTCAACTTTCTGTTATTGTTGAGTAAAAAACTTTTTTACTTCTATTTTATTGAATCGAAATGGACCATTAAAGTAAGAAGCATTTACATACATAACAGCTAATTCTTACATATTTACATATCTAACACCTAAATTTTACCTTTTACATTATTCCACTCAAATGTTTTATATCACATCAAAGATGACACCGTTTTAACTCACAAAAAATGAAACACACATTTTCATGCATGGGTAACATGGCATGTAAGTAAAAATTGAAGTTTAGGTGTTAAACATGTAAATAAATAGGAATTGAGTGATATGTATATATATCTTAAAAGTAATTGGTGTAGTCTAGACTCAATTTCAGCTCATAACTTGTATGTTTCTGAATATTCTGAACTCATAAACTGATACATTCTGAGCGGGCCTTTACATACTATCATATATACCAAAATTTAATGTATCTACATATTTAAAACACAAATTTTCCTGTGTACTTATATAATAATTAAATCTCTTCATACAGATATTTAGCAGTGATTGAGACAATAGAGTATTATTATATAAGAAACGATTAAAATTAAAATGTTATATAATAGATATACCACTACATAAAAGTAATATGATATGTATGTATATCCCCCAACTTTGATTACCAAACCAGGAAATCATTTTCAGTAATTGTCAAAAACTTCACAGGCCAAAAAGTTGTTTTATATTTGGGGCGTTTACATACACGGCACACAATTCTTATGTATTTACATATCTCACAACTAAACTTATCATCTTTACACACATGACAATCAGATCTTTAAAACCACATAAAAAATAGCACTACTATCGCTCTTTAAAAGCGAATTACATCTTTTCATGCATAGGTTTAAAGCACCAAAGTGTATGTACGTAATTATGAAAATTTACGTGTGAGATATCAGATATGTAAATACATAAGAATTGTGCGCTAATTATGTAAATTTCCCTTCATATTTTTAACCATATGAAGTTGCAGACTAAGAATGCAGTGTTTCCAACATTCTACCAGGAGTGCATGCAGTTCAGATCAAGTTTCGACTTCTATAATGATCCCGCAAAATTTAAGGGGGGATGACTATCACGCAAGATTCATGTGGTGGAATGAGATCTTAATTTATCACACTTGATATTAAAAAATTTAAAAATTGAAGATAACTCTCTCAACTAAATGGGAGATTGTTGATTTGCACAAGATGGAAGATATTTGATTCACACAAGACAATGAAGAATGATCTCACAGATATGAAAAACAAGAGGTTGAGTTCTTTAAATTCAAATTTATTTGAAGCAGATGAATGGGGTCGTTTTTAAGAACCTAATTTTTTAGGGTCTTTCTTAGAAAGTCGCCTAAGAGTAGCAGATTGCCTCCTCCACTGATGGATAGGGACCTGAAAGAAGGAAAAGTAACACAAATCTTTCAGGGGGAAATAATCCAAAATATTAAAAAGAAAAGAAAACAGAAAGAGTACAATATACCGCTGGAAAACCGGCATAGTCTCCAGGTTCTCCGACATCCTTAGTCACACAGCTGTTTGCTGCGAGCCGGACCTGGCAGTAGTTTAAACCTTTAAAGAACAGTAAACTAAAGCAGAACAATAAATATCATTTACAACATATCCCCCAAAAGAAATTGTTAACTAATAACCAAAAAAAGAAGCTGGTCCAAAAAGAACTTACAAGAAATAGTACTCGACAAATGGCCAACTAGAAGTATTCACAAACAATTGACCAGACATATTTGAAAAATAGTGTATTAGCAATGCTCAATAGATAACCTACTAGCAGTAGTTGACAAGAAACCAACTTATAGTCTTCAAAAGAGGTACTAGATCAAGAAACTTGTTAAAAACTTGGCTACACGCCTACAACTTAGTTACAAAGAGTTGTTTGGCAACACAAGTGTTAGACTTATTCTCACCAATAAATATGTAGTCAATTTTCAGTTGTGAGACATGCAACTTTGTGATCAATCTAAAAAATGTAGAAACGTAATCAAGCCTTCAATCAATCTAGAAAGTTTAGACACTTAATCAAGAATGTAAAATCAAATTCCTTAAACTCTCACTCTCACTCTCTCATGCACATGTACTTCACTCAAATGTCTCAATCGGGTTTTCATTGTGACAATCTATGTCAGAGATCCAAGGTCGAAACCTCAGTTCAGCCCAATTAGTTCAATCCAAGATCCATAATCTTGGCTAATGTCCTCAAGCAACATACAATTAGATTCCACCAATAATCATGAATCCAATTAAAAATGGTTGAACTCTCTAAAAAAGTATAATAATTTTATGGGTAATTTACATTCGTAGTATAATATTTTTATGTATTTACAAACCTACCACTTAAATTTAAATATTTAAACACATAGTATTTTTGTTGCTTTAAAGTTATGAATGAAAAGGTGTATTTCACTTTTAAAAAAATGGTAATTGTCTATTTTTTATGTGATATTAAAGATTTCAGTGCTATGTGTATATAAAAATTTAGGTATGAGATATGTAAATACATAAGAATTGTGAGCCATGTATGTAGATGCATCTAATTTTATACAATAAATACATGCAGTTGTTAATAAGAAGTCAAACCTTTGAAGAAATAGTAACATGGTCCTTCACAGCTACCCGCCCAGCCAAAGTGCAATAATCTCCAATCCTATAATCCAGCACAATAATAAAGAAAGTCATGATATCTACAATAAGCCTAAGATGAAACCCACTTTTCTAATGGTTTCCAAAAGCCTCATAGCAGCAACAACAACAACAACAACAAAGCCTTAATCCCACTACGTGGGGTCGGCTACATGAATCATTTTTCTCCATTGCGTCCTATTTAGTGTCATATTTTCATTTAGTTCTAGTAAATTAAAATCATTTTTAATACAATAAGTTCTTCCTAGTCCTAGGTCTACCTCTGCCTTTCTTAACACAAGTCGAATTTCCAAAATCCTCATAAAAACAAAAAAAAAATCAACAACACAAAAAGAAAAAAAAAGGGGGCATTTACATACATACCACCTAATTCCTATTTATTCACATTTCTAACATTTAAACTTTATTTTTTACATTTATACCACCCAAATCTTTCATATCACACCAAATACGTAACTTCTAAAATTTGAAACACTTTTTAATGCATAGGGAAGGTGACATATATGTAAAACGTGAAATTTAGTTGTTAGATATGTTAATATATAGAGATTGAATGGTATGTATATGAATCTACCAAAAAAAAATAGATCATCAGTGGGATATATATATATATATATATATATATATATATATAAAAAAACTTACGTAACAGAACCAGCTATACCAACTTGTCCACACAGTATGCAACACTTCCCTATAACAGCATTATGACCTATCTGCAATAAAATCATTAAGAGAGAAATATCTAAAATTACAAATTCACAGAATAATTCAAATAAGAAAATCTCCATTTCTAGGATAAACATAACCTGGCACATTAATTCGTTAAAGCCCACCTGTACTAAGTTATCAATCTTGGTATAATCTCCTATAACAGTGTCTCTCCAGCTACAAGCAAAGTCAAATATAATGATTAATCCTTAAAACATGCAGTTTGATACAATAATTCATTGCTTAACAAGAATTAAAATCCACATTTTTTTTAGGAAAAAAACAATGGTGGGGAGACTACTACTGATGAAAATTATGTAAGCAAAGCAGTCAACAAAATAACATGCTAACCTTCCCCTATCAATACAAGAATTTGCACCAATCTCTACATGGTCTCCAATCCTGACGTAGAGCGACTGTAAACCCAGAACTTCAGGTATAAGTAATCGACATAATATGCTGAATGTGAAGATCATTTGAGGCTCTTAAACAACTAAAAATCATAATGAACATTCTTACTAGTTAAACGTCGGTAACAGCTTCATAGATCATAATAATTTAAGCTTGAAATTATCATTAGTTTTACCAGATATCAGAGAGATACAGTGCACATAAATATTATGCCATAAATATATAACTATTAGTGCTTGAAACTGTGAAACCGAAAAAAACTTGGAAGGCAGAAAAGGTGTGGTATGTCAAGGTATAGTAATCATCCCTGGTTTACCTCATCCATCCGTGGTCGCTATCGGTCACGATTTTTGTAGTATTAAGTGACTGGGTTCTTTTGTGTTATTTTCACAAAAATGTCTAAAGAATAAGCTACATAAACAATATATTGATTTTCCTCTCCAACAACGCCCTTGATGTCGTAGCATCGTCCTTCGTCAACGATAAATACTGATAAGTCCATCAATCCACACAGTTATCCATGTACCACTAGAAGATTCGGCAGCTACCGCAGCCCCCGCTTCTCCAGCGGAACTCCCGGCTAAGGGTTTACTCAGAATGCTACCAAGAACTCAGTCTCTTTGATTTCATAATCAGCAGTCTAAGAAGTCAAAATGAAAATCTAGAAAGATGAGATTGAATAGAAAGGGAATTCTCAATTCTCAAAAGCTTGGCAATTACACCTGTAATCAATTTCATTCTCAACCCAAAAGTTTAAAATTAAGATAAGAGTCAACAATGTTTATACAATTATATATCTTTCAACTTTCTGATGCGACATCATACACAAAAGCTCACACAACTTAATGATCTCCCCCTCACATGGAAACTCTCCATACTGACAATCACCGCCTCAGCCTTCTCAAACAAAAAATCATCAACATAAACTATCATAATAAGGAGACCACTCAAAAACATTGATTAGTTGTGAGAGTTCTGTTGAGAACCATAAACTACATGAACCACTTAATCCCAACCAAATCTTCGACTCTAATAACATTGGCTAGTTTACACCACCGGTCAAACCAATGAACAACTCAAAAGCTTAAGCCTGAATAAGGGCTAGCCACTTAAAAATTTATATACCATCATATTATTAAGCTATCTAAAGTGGGATTAAATCCAAAGCCTCGCATTCTTTAACAAACTGTTTTCATGAAGGTACCAATAATAATTTTCAATAATTCATTGAAGCATTGAATTAAGCTCTAGAGATGACAGTGCCTCATGCAATCCAACTCCAAATAAAAAAAATTTCCAAGGACCAATCATTGATATTAAAAGTATTTTACATCGTGCATGCCCTTAGTTTTAATAATTTTAAATAGAACAAATAGTTTTTATTTTGATATATATATATA